ACATTACAGATGTTGTTTTGTAAAAAAAGGAAAAAGCTGCTTTAGGAAAGAATCTGAAACATATAATATGGGATGGTTTCTAGTTTCAAGGTATGCTAAAAAGCCACGGAGTGAAAACCAGTGTGTTTTTCTGTCCCTGAGGCTCAAACTTTCTTCATTGAAATGTCAGAGACAGTGCAGAGTTGTCTCTGGTTGCCCATGAAGAGGAGTATGAACCCTCCTCTACATGTAGTTTAGAGCAGTCAGTCCAACCTGTTTGATGGCTTAAAAAGGGGAATTCCACAAAATGTTTCTGATAGTTCAAGATAAACTGTCAGCTGTTGGAAAATATTTTAGTATTGGAAAGTACAGGGTCAAACATGTACATTCATCTAAATCTTTTAAAGTGTTGAAGCCTAGAAAGTCTAATCTTGACTAGATCAAAGTCTATTATCTTCTCATTAATGATCATGACGTAGTGCAGCTGGTAGTTTCATTTTTGCCAGAATTAAAAGGATTTCAGACTGAAAAGACATTGGTAGGATGTTCACGAACAGCACAGAAACTATAAAAGTTCAAGCTGGTATAAACTGTAAACTGCTGGAACTTCAGTGTCGCAGGCTTTACATTGTGAAACACTCAAGTTAAGTGGAAACTTTCAGGTGCCCATGTGAACAAAGTACAGGTGCCTCTCAAAAAATTTGAATATTGTGAAAAAGTAAAAATTTTTGTCAACAATTTCAGAAAGTGAAACTCAAACCAGCCACTAGGGAGTACAGGCCAGTGTATCTCTTGTTTTGCCCCCAAGCCTGGGTAAACAGGAGGGTTGTGTCAGGAAGGGAATCCGATGTAAACACTTTTTCCTAAACTAAATTGCAAGTTCATATAAGCAACACCATACCGCATCAGTCAAGGCCCGAGTTAACAACGACTGCTACCAGTGCTGTTGACAAACAAGGTGCTGGCGTAAATTGTGCTACTGATAGTGGAAGACCACAAGGAGGGAAATGTGTCAGGAGACAGAGGGAGAAGAGAAAAGTCAATGTTGTAGGACTGAGGGTGGCAAATCTAAATGTGGGAACAGTAGCTATGTTTACATCCACATAAGTAACTGGATCAAACGGCCGTTCGGAATAAAAACCGTCACGTAAACACCTCGTTCGTGTTATTTTTTTGTTTATTCAGCACAATCCGAAATAATTTGTGATCAGAACGAAACGGGTGGTTTACGCTGATTCATAACCCGAACAGTGCGCATGTAAACACTTGATCTGTTCCGTTTTTATCTGATGGTGAAAAACTGACCTGACTGCGCATGTGCGACTTTGTCATTTTTGCCTGGCTAATGCTAATAAGCATGTCAGGGAAGCAAAACTGGTCGGTGAGCAACACAACATTTCTACTAGAAACTTTGAAAGAGCTCAAAATGATCTGTATTACCTGTAGCTCAGTCAGGGAGTGCAGTAACGTCTCCACTGTCGTTAAAACCTGTCGCGGGTCCATTTTGGGTGCTCAGCTTTGTTTACATTCATGCCGGATGTAAACCGGAAGTAGAACTTCATCTTCTGTGTTTTTTTAAGGAGAGTTTACCACTCTGCGCATGTCAGTACTTCTGTTCAGAACAAAGCCTGCATGTAAACGCTCGTCATGAACAGATTGTGCCCATGTAAACGATACATTTGAATTATTTAATCTGAAAACATTTCAATCCAGTCAAAAAAATTTGCGCATGTAAATATAGCAAATGACAGGCAAAGATAGAGGGTTGGCTGACATGATGCAGAGAAGGAAGATGTTTTATGTGTTCAAGAGACCAAGTGGAAGGGCAGCAAGGCTCACAGCAATGGAGCAGTGTTTAAACTGTTTTACCATGGTTTGGATAGAAAGAGGAATGGAATGGGGTGGTCTAAAGAATGAAGTAGAGGTGAAAAGAGTGTCCGAGAGGGTGATGTGTCTCAAAGTAGAAGGTCTAATGCTAAATGTTGTCAGTGGTTATGCTCCACAGGTTGGATGTGATGTGAAGGAGAAAAATACATTTTGGAAGGATCTGAATGAAGTGATAGAGAGTATTCCCAGAGAGGAGAGGGTGGTTGTCAGGGGAATTTAGGCAAAGATCATGGATGTTTATCACTAACTAATGTTAAATTAATGTTGAACCATGTGTGTGAGGTCAAGCTAATCTTTTGTCTATGCAGAGAGGAACCTGCAAGTGCACGGAGGCACACCTGATAAACTCCAAGGCCTTCTCCGAGTCTATAAGATGGAAAGCTAAGGTTTTCTTGACCAGTCTTACATCGGGGAAACTAAACAGTCACTGGCCAAAAGGATGGCCCAGCACAGAAGATCAACATCATCAGGCCAGGATTCTGCGGTCTACACTCATCTCCAGGCCAGCAGTCACTCTTTCAGGGATGAAGATGTTCACATCCTGGATATAGAGGAACGATGGTTTGAGAGAGGAGTAAAGGAGGCCATCTTTGTGAAAAGAAATCGTCCATCATTAAACAGGGGTGGAGGCCTCCATGTTCAACTGTCCCCCTCTTACAATGCTGTGATTGCTAGTATCACTCAACCCCCTGTGAATAGTAAACAGCCATCATTGTGCTAATGATCCATTGTTAGGCTGATGATCCTTCTTGATCATGTGAGCAGCTGGTTTTGGTTGTCAGCAGCAAAACTGGTTGATCCACTCTGAGAAGGAGCTATTTATAAGACTGAGCTGAATACAGCACCTCAGACTGAGGAAGTTTTTCAGATGAAAGACGAAACGTTTCTACATTTTTTTGTTGTTTTGCTTTGTTTTTTATGGGTTTTTTTTTTCAATGTCCAGAGGACCAGATTTAACTTTATTAGATTTTTCTACCTGGATTATTGAGTATGCATCAGGATATTTTTCTTGACCTTGTTTCTGTCTGATAAGCATGTATTATAAAGCCCTTCCTGCCTCACAGTCTGGTGCAGATCCTCACTGACGAGGTTCTAAGCATGTAATTTTTGTATATCTGTGAAAGCCTTCTCGTGACTTTCTACCCTTGCAAGTAAAAACCGGTTAAAAATGTTCTTATGTCCTCAAAGTAAGTACAGATGCTGAAAGGATATTTATTTATCCAACAGTAGTGTAGTGAATGGAGCAGACCTGAATGAACATTTTGGTGAAAGAAACAGAGGGGATGAGGAGTGATGGGTAGGTTTGGTGTCAAGAAAAGAAACAAGGAAGTACAGACAGTGGTGGATTTTGCCAAGAAAATGAAAATGGCTGTAGTTAACACTTATTTCAAAAAGAGGGAGGAACATAGAGTGACCTGTAAGAGTGGAGACAGGAGTATGCAGGTAGACAACATTCTGTATAAAAGATAAAACTTGAGGGAGATTGGGGACTGTAAGGTTGTGGCAGGGGAGAACGTGGGCAGACAGCATTGGATGATTGTGTGTAGAATGACAGTTGTGAAGAAGAGAAAAAAAGTCGAATCAGTGAAGAAGATCAAACGGTGGAAGCTGAAGAAGGAAGAATGTTGTGAGAAATTCAGAGGAGCTGTTAAAGGCTCTGGGTGGTAAGAAAGAACTTCCAGATGACTGGGCTACTACTGCAACATTAATTAGAGAGACGAGTAGGACGGTACTTGGTGTGTCATATGGACAGAGAAAAGATGATAAGGAAACCTGGTGGTGGAATAGTGAAGTGCAGTAAGCTAGTCAAAGAAAGAGGTTAGCCAAGAAATGACTATGAGAGGACTGAAGAGAGGAGACAGGATTATAAGGAGATCTGACATAGTGGAAAGAGGGAGGTAGCAAAGGCAAAGCAGAAGGCGTATAACGAGATGAATGGGAGGCTGAACACTAAAGTGGGTGAAGACTTGTATTAATTGGTGAGACAGAGGGATCAAGCTGGAAAGGATGTGCAGCAGGTTAGGCTTGTGAAAGATAGGAATAGTAATGTTTTAACAAGTGAGAAGAGCATGATGGAAAGATGGAAGGAGTACTTTGAGGAGCTAATGAATTAAAAGAATGAAGGAGAAAGAAGAGTAGAGGTCATATAAATTGTGGAACAGGGAGTGGGACAGGTTAATGAGGGTTAAGTTTGGACATTTATGAAAAGAATGAAGAAGGGGTAGGCAGTAGGGTCTGATGACATACCAGTGGAGGTTTGGAAATGGCAGTGAGGCTTTTGACTCAAATATTCAATGGCATATTTGAGGAAGAGAAAATGCCAGAGGAATGGAGAAGAAGTGTGCTGGTGCCCATTTTTAAGAACAAAGCTGATGTACAGAGTTGTAGCAATTACAGGGAGTTAAGCTGATGAGTCACACAATGAAGATCTGGGAGAAAGTTGTGGAAGCTAAACTTAGATGAGAGGTGACTATTCATGAGCAGCAATACGATTTCATGCCGAGAAAGAGGACCACAGATGCCATCTTTGCTTTGAGGATGCTGATGGAGAAGTACAGAGAGGGTCAGAAAGAACTTCATTGTGTCTTTGTGGATTTAGAAAAAGCATATGACAGGGTACCAAGGGAGTGTGGTAGCATGAGGAAATCTGGAGTGGCAGGGACGTATGTTACCCACTGGTACAAAAAATGTATGAGGATAGCAAAACAGTGGTGAGATGCACTGTAGGAGTGAAAGGTAGCTTCAAGGTGGAGGTGGGATTGCATCAAGGATCGGCTGAGAGCCTGTTCTTGTTTGCTCTGGTGATGGACTGACTAACAGATGAGGTCAGGGAGTAATCCCCATGGACTATGATGTTTGTAGATGACACTGTGGTCTGTGGTGAGAACAGGGAACAGGTGAAAAAGAACTTAGAGATGTTGAGCTATGCACTTACAACAAGAGGAATGAAAGAGCCAAATAAGACAAGTGTCAATGTGTGTGAATGAGAGGAAGACAGGTGGAACAGTGAGGAGCAGAGGTCACAAAGGTGCAGGGCAGATGTAGGTGTCAACTGTCCAGGAAAATGAGGAGTGTGGCAAAGAGGTGAAAAAGAGAGTCCATGCAGGATGGAGTTGATAGAGAAAAGTTTTAGGAGTGATTTGTGACTAAAGAGTGGCTGCAAAGGTCAAAGAAAAAGTTTACAGGTCAGTGGTGAGGCCAGCTATGTTGTATGGCCTGGAGACAGTGGCATTGACAAAAAGACAGGAGAAAGAACTGGAAGTGTCAGAAATAATGTTGAGGTTCTCCTTAGGTGTGAGATGGATGGATAAGATTAAAAAAATATCACCAAAGGTACAGCACAGGTTGAACAACTGGGAGATAAAGTTAGAGAGGCCAGACTGAGACGGTTTTGACAATTCCAGAGGAGGGACAGTGGGTATATTGGTAGACGGATGTTTGAAATACAGCTACCAGGAAAAAGACAAAGAGGAGATAGATGGATGCAGTTAGAGAGGACTTGGAGGTAGTTGGAGTGAGGACAGAAGATGTAAGGGACAGTGAAAGATGGAGGTGGATGACTTGCGGTGGCTGAAGAGGACAAAGAAGTAAGCAAAAGATTTCAGAAAGTGAAACTTATATTACCTAGCTTGATTACATAGAGTGAAATATTTCAATACTTTATTTCTTGTAATTTTGATGATTATGGCTTAAAATTGATAAAAAAATCAAAACTCAGTATCTCAGAAAATTTGAATATTACATAGTCAGCTTGGCATTGCGGGCAGGAGCCAATTCCTGTTGGAAAATGAAATCAGCATCTCCATAAAGCTTGGGAACAGAAGGAAGCATGTAGTGCTCTAAAATGTCCTGGTAGATGACTGCATTAACTGTTGACTTCAGAAAACACAATGGACCAACACCAGCAAAGAACATGGCCCCAAATCATCACTGACTGTTGAAACTTCACTCTGGACTTCAAGTAACGTGGATTGTGGGCCTCTGCACTCTTCCTCCAGACTTTGGGACCTTGATTTCTCAGCCCTGGTAAGACTCTTCTGACACTGTCTCTGGTTCAGGAGTGGCTTGACTTGAGGAATGTGAGATTTGTAGCTCATGTCTAGGAGTTAATGAGCTGATTAGGGTGTGACATGACGAGTTTCCACTATTGAACCTCTTCACAATATTCTAATTTTCTGAGACACTACTTTTTTTTCTTTCATTATTTGTAAGCCATAATCATCATTTTCACGATTTTCCAGTTTTTTGAAATTATCCTGTAAATGCCTCTGAGAGAAACATTTCATGGTCAGACATGACAACATTGAGCTTTATTGCCAAAATGACAGCAGGTGCTTTTGTTTTAAGGAGTCAATGTGAGGTCTTTAAATGTGAAAACACTGTACCAACAGAATGGTGGTGTCTCCCAAGAAGGTAGAACAACAGAGGAGGACATCCACTTCCAAATCCTGTAACATCACCTAAAATAAACAGTTATGTGTTTAAGCTTCTGGACTGGCCTTCCTAAAGCCCTGACCTCAACTGAATTAAAAATGTAACTTTGCTTAAAAACAAGGACTGTGCCAGGAAACCAAACTATATTCTATTATCCTCTACCAAATCTGTCAAGAGGACTGGTCAAACATTTAGCCAGGATTGTACTAGAGGCTTGTCCTGGTCGAGGAGCAACTTGTCTGGGAACATTAACCCAAATATTAGTGAGGAATATGTTTACATTTGTACCTTGGTATAATTTTGACCTTGTGTAAAATAGAGAAAAAAAATTTAAAAATTCTAACAAAATGACATTCATACCGACGACAAGTGAATCTCTGACTACAGCAGTATTTGACAATGATTTTAAAGACAGAAAATGGCAACACATTTATATTTGTGCTTTATAACGAACAAGAGTACCATATACAGCGCATCATAAGCCCAACAAACTATTATACAACAATCTATAGTCAAGGCCCAGACAAGCAAAGACATTGCATACCATTTAATCTTGACAAAACATGCATGTTAGGCTGTTAGGCTGCCTTCAGGCCTAGGCCTCCCTTGCAAAATAGATATGTGATCTCAATGGGATTTGCCTGGTTAAATAAAGGTTAACTTGTAACCTTGATCTTGGAGCTGGGGTGACGAAAAGTCTATGCAACACTCCTGTGGTGATGATGCATATGTTTATGAAGATTTATTATATTATCTTGAGCGAATCAAAAGTTATGGGCGGGACAAGAGAAAGTTTATAAACAAGCCAAACAAGGGCTAACCAAGATAGGTCTGCCCTCGACTGATATGCACTGTACAAATTATATTATATTGCAGTGTTTCCCCTACAATTATACAAGCGGGGCGCCTCGCCCCGTCAACAGAACCGAGCGCCCCACCTACCAAACCGAACTGCGCACACACCCCCACCCTCCCTTCGACATCGACGTAGTGCTAAGCTGTGTGCAATGCAGGCACGCTAGCTAAAAAGTTCACGCTGCATCTTCCCTCACACTGATCCCCTCCTTCCCCGCTCGAAAACTGTTAGTACAAACAGCATGCAGCTCAGATCGTCTCACGCCCCCACTCCTCACCACCACCGCCCCGGTTGACAAAAATCACAGATGAGATTAGCGCCCCACCATTGCAAGTTATCTAGGGGAAACACTGTATTGTATTTTATTATATTCCCTAAAACAAAATACGTATAATATAATAGCAGCATTAATACCACTTGTGTATCTTCGAAGAACTGTTACATCATGGTGTGAATTTTAAATTTGTAAATTAACATGAAAATGTTGTTAAATACGGTCATTTTGTTACAGATTGTCATACTGTCGAAGTTTTATTCCAGGTTATACCTCAGTATGGCTTGACAGCAGTAGAAATATGGTGAGTTGTATGAATTATGTATCTCATCACATGATTTGTGATTAAACTTACTTCTCAATGTTGGCTGGCATTTGGTGATCTGTTACAGCAAGAACTTTGAGTAGCATCAACTCTGGGGAAGAAATCACAACAAATATTAAAATGTTACATAATTTTAATACTTAAATTCATACAGATTGTTGCTGAGTGCTTTAAAGTTTACAATTTTAACATTTGTAAAACTCTAACCTAATTTATAACTAATATTTGTATTTGTTCTAAGCTCATGCAAATGCCACGAGTTTCTCTCAGAGTTACAACAGTGTCATTAGAACCAAAATAAATAAAACTTGTCTCATGACATTTACTGGTGAAATTATGACTGAAGTGGTGTCCCCAACCAGTCGCATTTGAGCCTAAAAGATCCAGCCCAGCCCAAACCCGTATGATTTTTTCCGACCCCAACCCCAAAACGACGGATTAACTGTAATTACAGGCCCGAATTCGAAAAAAAAAAAAAAACTATTTTTTTATTAAGCTTTTACTGCTTTTGTAAGCAAATCAGTTTGATGTGATATTTTAAAAATTATTTCAAATAAAGGAAGATATAAGATTTCTTGTTTCACCAAATAATAATGGATATTAACATGCAAAACCAATAGCTTAAAAAATAAACTCTAAAGATAGGCTATTATACAGATGAACAAAAATATTTTTAGAGCAAAATTATTTGGTTAAAAATATAGAACAAGGCTATTTTAATTGAACGCGCAGCTCTCTTCGGCTTTTGTAGATGCTGCAACTTCCTTCACCGCAGATGACAGCAGTTGCAGAGACGCGTACGACCGGTGATCAGCCAATCAATCTGAGCTTAAATGGACTTTTTTTTTGCCTCTTTCAACCGGCCGGTCGGACCTGCCTCCTCCTCTACAAGTAGATTAACACAATTTTATATTGTGCATTCTTATTTAGTTTTCTTTGTGTTGTATGATTCGTAAAACCGCATCGTAGAAGACCAAGCTGACATGCGCAATTATTGCGCAATGCGCCAGCGTTACTCCCTTTTCACAGTCTGATTAACTGCTGCACTCTTCTTTCTTTCCTTCCTCATCCTCTCAACATAGTAAATGTACTGCCTCTGTCTCTACAAGTAGATTAACACAATTTTATATTGTGCATTGTTATTTGGTTTTCTTTGAGCTGCATGATTCATAAAACCGCATCAAAGCCTGAGACCGAACCGGCCCGCACATTAAGCACATTATTATGGCCCAGCCCAGCCCAGCCCAGGCTTCGGGCCTGGGTTAGAAATGACAGCTCTACCTATAACCATCCATCCATCCATTATCTTTACCCGCTTATTCCATTTTGGGTCATGGGGGTCGCCGGTGCCCATGTCCAGCAATCACTGTGCGAAGGGTGGGGTACACCCGTCCAGGGGTAGACCCTAGACAGGTCTCCAGTCCATCACAGGGACACATAGAGACAAACAAGACAAACAACCATTCACTCTCTCACTCACACCTAGGGACAATTTAGAGTTACCAATCAGCCTAACATGCATGTTTTTGGTCTGTAGGAGGAAACCGGAGTACCCGGAGAAAACCCACGCATGCACGGAGAGAACATGCAAACTCCACCCAGAAAGGCCCCTGGTTTGAACCAAGGACCTGCTCACTGAGAGGCAGCAGCTCTACCAGTTGTGCCACCGTGCTGCCCTTATTAGAAACAAGTTTTCAAAAAATGATACAATTAGGGCATTAATAATTCCTTTATTAAAAAAAGAAATCTGTAAACTTTGCCTGGCTGCTCAGTATGTGTGTATGTGTACATGTAGAATGGGAGTTAATTTTATATTCAAGTTCAATTTCCATCTATCCATTATCTTTACCCACTTCTTCCTGTTTTGGGTTGTGGGGGTCACTGGTGCCCATGTCCGGCTATCGCAGTGTGAGAGGCAGGGGACACCCTGGATAGGTCGCAAGTCCATTACAGGGACACGTTGAGACAAATTAGACAAATAACCATCCACTCTCTCACTCGGGGACAATTTAGAGTTACCAATCTGCCTAAAATGCATATTTTTGGTCTGTAGGAGGAAACTGGAGTACACGGAGAAAACTCACGCATGCACAGAGAGAGCACGCAAACTAAAGCCCTCGAATGGGATTTGAACAGGCAACCTGCTCACTGAGAGGTGGAAGCTCTACCAAGTGTGCCAACATGCCATCCCTCTATTCATTTATTCAAGAAAATATCTGTAAAATTAAAAAAAAAAAAAAAAGAAGTCCATGCTCAATAATCCAGGTGTACAAGCCAACAATTTTCAGTCAGGATTGACTGAAAATTGTTGGCTTGTACACCTGGATTATTGAGCATGGACTTTTTTTGGTTTTGAACCAGTTTGACATGACTGTTGACGAGGAAGAGGGCCGGCACAAGAGGAGGGGGCGTGCCAAAGACACCATCTTAGCACTAACAGAACTGGTTTGTTCCACTTTGGAGTAAGCTGTTTGGGGGAAGAATCAGTTTTGTTGTGTGTTTCCTTGACTGATGAAGCCTTCTAGATAGAAGGTGAAACATTTCAGAAAAAAAAAAAGAAACTGTCCAGATGACCTGACTGAAAATTGTTAGATATCTGTAAAATTGTTTATCCTATTTGGGTTTCCTGTTTGCCTCAGTGATTGTAACAAACAAATATTTTAAGATGAAGAAGGAGAGAAGGAGGACAGAAAAATGAAGCTGACTTCACAAGTAGTGCATTGAAATAGTTGTGCAAATAATATCCATTTAGGGGATATAACTTCCTGAAATATGTTTTTGAGAGTTTATAAAAACAGAGAGACATAGGTAACATTGAAGAACTTTCACACCAAGTAAGTAGAAGATGTGCAACAGACTTATTCCAGAGATGAAACAAGGTCACACATAACTTTACAGTAATCTTGTTTTTTTCCTGCACTTGTCGTGTGAAACTTGAACATGGTCGACGTACCACTGCCTTTGATGCCATAGGGTAGCGGCAGCTTTGGCAGGTGCTCCCTCCAAAAGTAGTCCTCCATTTTCAGAAAGAGGTTTGTGTGTCTGCTAACGCTGCAGGAGAAGCACCAGAACTGGGATTAGAACATGAAGAACGCACCGTGCAGAACTTCCGTTTGTGCATCGATTGGTGGATGCGAGTGGGAATGATGCAAGAATAATAAATTAAAGCAAATATACTGTGATCACACATGAAACATCTGTCCTGTATGATTCAGTGATGGCTTAACTTTTCCTTCTTGTAACTTTTAGAAAAGTTAACCTAACCTGCCACAAGAATATAGCATGTATTCAACAACTTAAATAATGTAATTCAACTGTTTTCTTAATTAAAATCCCTTTTTAGGAGACGTTTCTCTTCTGGAGAGAGGACTAAGTAAAACTTGTGGAATGAGATGAACATGGAAAGGTTGTAAAATGCGAACTAACTCTTTCTGTGTTCATCAGCTTCAGTTTGCGGCTGTTAATGATCACGATCATTAACACAGAGTCTCTAAGACGTGCATTACCCTCAGGGGCCAGCTAGCTCTCTACATGAGATGAGGCCAAACCTCAGGTAAAGGAACTGTAACTGTCAGGTACAGAAGCAGTGACCAGAAGCCTACAATAAACTGAGCTTTTCTGCAGGGACTATAAATCCTAACGGTTTCAGATGGTAACCAATAGGGACACTATGATGACCTACCTTATCAAGAGCCTTTTCCTGTGCACCCACTGGTCTAAATGGCTGAAACTGACAGGAATCACAAGTCTAACCTAAACTTTTCTTTAAATAACGTCTAATCTTTCTCTGTGAAAAACTGAAGGAATCTGGGCAGCCCAAACACTGTCACTGTTCTTCTCTAATAAGCCTCCCACTTATTCCAGTGTGTAAAACAGAAAACACGTGTGTGTTTACTCACTTGAAGTTGAGACTTTCCCAGTTCTTCTGCATTAGAAAACCACCACACAGAGACTTGCTGGTGTTCAGAGACTTACTGGTCCCGCCGGAGCTGAAAGACACGCAAGCACCACAACTGGCATGATGATCATTGCTGAATCCATGGAAACAAGGTTCCAGTCACCGTGCCCAGACCACTAAAATTGTGCAAGCATGGGCACATGTGAAGGTTTTGGTTTGACCTGCAGCTAAAAGCACTGGGTGAGCAGAAAAGTGGAGTCTGTGTTCGTCACTTTGCACAAACCTCATAAGGCATTTTATGTGACAGAGATTAGAACAGCCGAGTCAGAAGTTGTGTATGTGTGTGAATTTTTGTTTCAGGTTACCTTGTAGGGACTGATTTTACAAAAAAAACATGCATTGTGTGAACTAACTGCTCTTTATGGGGACCAAAGCCAGGTCCCCATAAGGATGGGTCTCGTTGGGGGGTTAGGGGTTAGGTTTAGGACTAAGGTGTGAATTGCACATGGGTTAGGGTTAGGCCTGTACTGGTAATGGTTAGTTTTAGGGTAAGGGTCAGGGTTAAGCTATAGAAAATTAATGGAAGTCAATGAATAGTCCACAAAAAGTATGTTTACAAGAATGTGTGTATGTGTGTGTGGTTACCTTTGAAGTATGGCATAGGAATAGTAATATGTCACAAAGGAGATGAAGAAGAGGAGGAATGGGAGTAGCCTGAGGCCCCATGCTGAGGTAAATAAAGAAAAAAAAGATAAAAAAATATATACATCATTTAAAGATTTTCATCTTGAACATCCTGCAGCAAGTTTTTTTTACTGTATTCAGTAAAATTTAAAACAAAAATTGCATGACAAGCCCAGATGAACAGGTGGGCAGTTTGTGCCAATACAAGTAGTGAAAAAGAAAAGTGAAATCATATGTATAGCTCTTCAGTATCACTTGTTTTTCAGAGACAGATGTGCAGGTTCACAGGAAATGCATTTTTCATGAGCTGAACTCAAAGGTCTAACACTTTCTATGTACACAACAGGTCTTTCTCTCCAATATTGTTCACACATTTGTGTAAATCTGTATTAGTGAGCACTTCTCCTTTTCTGACATAATCCATCCACCTCACAGGTGTGGTGTATCAAGATGCTGATTAGACAGCATGATTATTACACAGGTGTGTCTTAGGCTGACCACAATAAAAGACCACTCTAAAATGTGCAGTTTTTTCACACAGCACAATGCCACAGATGTTATAAGTTTTAAGGGAGCAGCAATTGGCATGCTGACTGCAGGAATGTCCACCAGAGCTGTTGTCCATGAATTGAATGTTCATTTATCTACCATAAGACGCCTCCAAAGGTGTTTCAGATTAATTGGCAGTAGATCTAACCTAAGCCTGAGAGTTACCGGATTCAAGCCGGATCCTAGTAAACAGTTATCAGAACGCACCTTGTCAAAATAAGAGAGTCCCTAGATTATGTTCTGGCAGGATCAGTCTCAAATTAAGCACTGGGTCAGCCTAAAGGCTCCAGTATAGTCGGGCGTATGTCAGTACGCGGAGGTCCGCGCGTACTGCATTAGAGTCGGATAGATTGATGGATTAGAGGGCATGTCTGTGCAAAGCTCAATTTTTACAACTGTGTACGCGTACTCTGTGTCGCACAATAAACTTCCCGGCAACAGATAGTTTTGTATGCGACACCAATGTATTAAATTCCCCTTCTTCATCCCTGATCTGGTTTAATGGTCTTTTCTTTTGTTGTTTTTTTCCAAGAGGCAAGCGATCTCTTCCTCCTTGTCTGTTGACGCCATGACTGAAATGGTGAGAAATGAAGGAATTTGTCACGAGCGAATTAAAATCAGGTCCAGCGTGGCTGCGGGAGGGTCTGGAGTTTTCATGGTGGGCTGGTCTGATGTGAGGGCTGCAGGGCCAGCGCTCCAGTTTTTTTTTTTTTTTTTTAATTCTTTAGAACTTTTTTATTAACAACATATAAACACAGAACACCGCTGCGGCTGGGGCTGCCAGATCTTTTTTGTTTTGTTTTGTTTTGTTTTTTACGACCTGTCAATCAAACCATTAGGCTTGTAAGCAAATGATCAATTGGCGACCTCAATTTGTCCCGAAGGTAAATGCCCCTTGCCTGCGGAGCTGGTCTGCAGCCACTCAGGGTGGACGCTTGAGTATGAAGTCTCAACCCTCTGCGGACAGTGCGCACAGTTTCCGCGCTGCTGACAGGACACCCGAGTATACTGGAGCCTTGAGGCACACCTGTGCTGTAATCATGCTGTCTAATCTGCATCTTTATATGCAACGCCTGTGAGGTGGATGGATTACCTCAGCAAAGGAGAAGGGCTCACTAACACAGATTTACACACATTTGTGAACAATATTTGACAGACTTGTGTTCATAGACAGTCGATGTTTGAGTCCAGCCCATGAAAAATGGGAGCAAAAACAAGTGTCGCGTTTAAAGGAAGAAAAATACAAGTTTAAATCTAAGAAATGTTGGTGAATTAAAAGTGAAGGCTAAAAAGCGCATTATTTAATTGAATTATTGAACTTTTTGTGACTGTCTGGAAATATTTATCTTCAGGGTTTCAGCTTTTCTGGCAGAGTTTTCTTCAGCCGGGAGGCTTTGTGCCAGAAAAGATCAAAGGCGGCAGGTGAGGCAGTACAAAGAGAGTCCAGATCCACACAGCACCGCAACGTGCGCCACAGCATGTGCGTCAGGGTTCAAATTTGACTACATTTGAACCAGAACTTACATGGATTTTATTTCGGCTTCTTCGACACGTTTGGTTCCACTTCAAAAATAAAAGTCAGCAAGCTCAACAAAAAAGTCCTTAAACAAGTTGCAGGTTTACGCACAGAAAAAATAAAACTGTTTGCTTCATTTTTATGGACACATTTAACTGACTGAGGGAAAAATGCATTTTATCTCTTAATTGTCTGCAACATATTTTGTTACGTTTAGACAGTAAGGCTATTTGAACTGGCTCCAGAAATGATGTGAAAATTAACTGGAACTCAAAATTACGCACAAAGTAGTTCAACCCTTTTATACATTCTGTTTTAGCTTCACGTTTAAAATAGTTTTTAAAGCAATTGACCATATCAAATACAAATAACGTTGATTATACATTATCCTGCATTTTATTATGATCATAAACATTTTGTTTTATTATAACAAAGAGTTTAAAAAGATAAGAGAGCTGACTCGGGACCCATCTGTGATTCTAACGTCAAAGTCTGCACAGTGCAAATAAAGGCAAATCCAAATTGTATCTAAGCACAATTTTTTTTTTTAAATCAAACGCAATTTAACACATCGACAACACTTATTCTTACTTTTAGCTCCACTGTGGGACATCTTAACCTCCTCCTTCGTGTCCTGATGCATGCTCAATAATCCGGTCAGATAAATCTAATGAGGTTAAGTCAGGTCCTCTGGGAAGAAGAATCCATCCAGGCGACCTGACTTAACCTTGTTAGACTCCTCCTTTGTTCTCTCGTGTCTATGCAAAGCCTGAGTTCATCCTGAGTGTGCAGAAAGGTGAACGGACTTGACTTACTCCAACATTCTTTACACAACACTATGAATGGCACGTCTAAGAAGGTAACATGAATGAAGAACGGCAGTGAAACAAAAGGTTTCACTACACAGTCTGCAAGAAAATGAAAAAATATATAAAAGAACGAGAAGTTTAGACAGAACGAAGCAGCTAAAAAGAACAATTACTTATTTTTTGTTCATTTAAGCAAGGTTGAACGGAGTGTTTAAGAAAAGTCGGTATTTTGTATACAATGTTTATTTTTATTTAATATAATCTTCATTCATACAGATGAAACAAGGTCTTGTTCTGTTTCGACACTGACTGGTGCATTTATCAAACCAACGGCTCTTCCTCTGTTTCATGTTATCTCATCTCTGCAGATAAACACAAACTGTCACAACTGTACAATCACTTTGTTTTATCAATTTTAATTCAGCTTTCACACCAAGTCTCTGATCTTAGGGGTGAGCAGGGGGTGAGGGTCAAAGAGACAAATAATTCCATTTAATGTTCAGCTTTTATTAACCACAATACATTTAAATGTTATAATAATAAAATGAAAAGATAATTTAACAAGCGGTACGATGAAGCTCCAAGTTGCAAGTTTCTTTCAGCTGCTCCCTTCTTCAGGAGTTGGTACAGCGAGCCAACTCGCATGAAAAATTTAGCAATTGTTTTACACCGGATACCCTTCCTGAGACAACCTGGGCTCGAACCTGCAACCTCAGGATTACAAGACTGAGGCACTGAAGCAGATGAGTGTTTGTCTGAACTGGAATTAAACAGGGAATGAAAGTGAACCTTAAAGTTTTTGGTGCGAGATATTCAAGTGGATAAGAGATTATCTAGAAGCAGGTAAAGAAAATGGATGGATGGATGGATGGATGGATGGATGGATGGATGGATGGATGGATGGATGGATGGATGGATGGATGGATGGATGGATGGATGGATG